GGGCAGTGACTTCCTTCTGCCATGTAGTAGACATATTTGTCCATGGTTTTACTTCCTTTGCCATAATCCTCCTGAAGTCATTTTATATTTCCTCTGGTGTCTCATATAATGCTTTATATGTAGTAGCTCATCTACGATTTGATAATGAGCGAATAATAACAGCAAATAAAGGCATAGTGAAAAACGATGTGTAAAGCTTTTAATAATTTGACATTGATGGCATAGTAAATTAAATTGCTCAAGGAATTTACCCATAAAGCAGATGGCTCACTCTCAATCTAAGAGTCAAAAATGTAAGTCCTGAACCACTCATATCAAAAGAATCTTCCAAAAACGAATCAGTACTACAATCAGGGCCACTTCATGGATGGCATTGCTGATGAATAACAAAGAAGTTTTGAAAGAGTAATTTGCCTGGGAACCCATAAAAAGAATTGAGAACCAAGCTGCCAAGACTGTATATGTTAACACACTACCAGAAGGTGGGGAACTTGTCTCAATGAAGTTTCAATATAAGTCCTGTAATACTATACCTTTGTGTTGGAATTGTGCCACTTTAAAATATATTAAATATGAAATTGTGATGTTTTCTAGTGTTCATTGTTTTGAAGATTATGTTGTTTTAAAGAAAACTTTGGAAATACAAGCCTTAAATAAGAAATTACATAGATATACTCTCTCAAGGGAGATTGGAAAGGGAAAAAGGAAGTAGAACCTAATATAGCTAATTAATTCTATACAAGTTGAGACACGACCTGAAAGCAGAGTTCTGGTGATCTAAAAATATTTTATCACCAACCCTTTGTCTTTCTACCGGCCTCAGGAGGCCCTTTTAATTAGGCCGTGAGGACAGATGTATAAGTAGGTATATATCTACCATATTTACTATTTAGTTTTGGCTTAATATTTACCTTATGTAGAATCGGAGAACAATCAGAACCAAGCACTTCTCAAATGAACCAAGCTCCATCTGCATAGAAGCTACCACTCACTAAAGAAAAAACATATGTGCAAACTCAAGACTAAACAACTAGGAGTCTAGAAACTTAAAGTTGTGGCATTAAGCTGACATGCTGTGCAATTGTATATAAGGTCTATTCAAATCTTCTAGAAATGGATCATTCCTTGTGAAGAGGGTGGAAGTGAGCATGGGGGTGTCGAATAGGATTAGCTTGAGGACCTGTAAAAAGGTCTAAAATATTTTGACTTGAATATTTGTCACAATAAACAAAAGAAACTCTTACTTCGGGTAACATGTTTTTATAGGTATAATCATCCTATTATTTTTACCACAGTGTGTTGGGGATTCCCAAGACCACACTCATTTTCAATGATTCACTAGAAGGACTCACAGGATTGTGAAAAGTTGTTATACCTATGGTAATGGTTTATTACAGTAAAAGAATATAGATTGAAATCAGCAAAGGCAAAGGTGCATAGGGAAGAATATAGAAGAGACCAAGTGCAAATTTCCAGTTATCCTCTCCCAGGAGCATCATACAGAGAGTATTTCTCCCAGCAACAATGTATGACAACATTAGGAAGTATTGCTGACCAAGGAAACTCACCCAAGTCTTCCTGTCTAGGGCTTTTATTGGGAGGTCAAGTACACAGATATGGAGCACTCATGACTGGCCAGTCAACAGTACCCCTAGAGATCACAGTGTGGCTCATGGCTTCAGGTACACAATAGTAGGCATTCACCATAAATTGCATTGTGAGCTAATAATGTGGTACAGGGTTCCAGGTAAACAAAACTAGACATTCACCATGAATCAATTATTAGCATAAATTATCTAGCATGACTCATGGTCCCAGGTATACAAAGATATTTTTACCATGCAGAATATTCCAAGGGCTTATAGGTTATCTCCCAGGAGTTGGCCAAGGGACAGTCTTTTCAGTTCTGTATGTGCAGGGTTGAGCACTCTAAGCCTATTGAATTAACTCTTTACTGCACCATGAAAAAGTTTTTTGTACCAGTGTCGCCCATTTTGTAGACATCCTGCCAACTAATATTCCTCAAGTATAGTTCTGGTAATTTACTTCCTACTGAGTAACTTAATTCCTAAGGGAAAAGATACCTGTCTCTTCAGGAGTAGCCTTAAAAGTTCATTATATTTGGGCAGGGACTCTGGAAGCCAAGTATAGCCAGTGCAGTGCCTCACATACATTCAGAAAAAAATTCAGCATTTTTTTAATGTTTATTTTTTGGAGACAGACAAAGACAGAGACAGAGTGCAAGTGGGGGAGGAGTAAAGAGAGAGGGAGACACAGAATCTGAAGCAGACTCCAGGCTCTGAGCTGTCAGCACAGACAGAGCCTGACGCAGGGCTCGAACTCAGGAACCGTGAGATCATGACCTGAGCCACAGGTGGAGGCTTATCCGGCTGAACCACCCAGGAGCCCCCAGTATTTGTTTTGAAAGCATAAATGATGAGTGAACCTCATTTGAATACTATTTGAATTATTTCTTGTTTCCAACATCTTCGCTAACATGGGTCTCTCATTTTATATCCTCCAATAGGTTGAATTTTTTAACCATGCTTCAAAATTCAGGTCAAATTTCACTCCTGCCACAAAGCCTCCTCAAGCCTTCATAGTACAATTAGTCCCTCCTTCTGTGTTCCCATAATTTAATTGATGTATGAGATGCAGGATCCTGTTCCACCTTGCTTTCTGGTGGATTGTAAATGTATCATTTTACCTAGCTCTAGATGTCGACCTTTAAAGACAGATACCTTGACCTATCCATCTTTATAGTCTCTAGAATCCCTACTCTAATGTGTTGCTTCAGGTTATTAATAAATTGAATATTGAAATTATTTAATCATATTTTTCAAGGTTAATTTACCAGGCTAATATAGAGTTAAGAAATCTGTAACTAATATCTGAAAACTTCAAATTGTTGAACTCAGTCTGAATCTCAGAAAAGTAGGTTTACGAGCTTTCAAATTGAGTAAATGAAAAGTAGAGAAGACCAAGTGCATAAGAACACAGTGTACAGAACAGCTGTCTTGTGTCCTCAGTGGGATAAGCTAAATTATAATTATTGTGATGGTTCATCTTTCATGCCCGTGTGCTTCTGAAGAGTCTCCCAGCTTCAGGGCTTTGGGGACTTATTTGTCACCGTAGGTCTGAAATTAGTGTGATTAGTTTCCCTGACATTTATCATCTCAAAATATCTGAAATCTACCTTAGAAGTAAAAACTAGAAAGAATGTCAGTAGCAATGGTTCATCCTGTGTATATATCAGGATGCTGAAATTTGACATGCCAAGAGACACCCCTTTGTTTGGGTTCCCGGCAATACAGAAGTGATTGTGGTCCCAAGTGGGTCATAGAAATTAATAGTCAAAAAGTTAATTTCAAATACATTGTTCTCTTGGATACAAGGAGAACCACTTTGTTTACTCTTACAAATTTCACTATTTTTTCACACTCTTGTCTCTTGTTTTCTCTTCTATTTTTTTCTCCTATGGTTTCAGATTTAAAACATTTTTTTTAACATTTATTTATTTTTGAGAGACAGAGTATGAGCAGGGGAGGGACAGAGAGAGAGGGAATCAGAGAATTCAAAGCAGGCTCCAGACTCTGAGCCATCAGCAAAGAGCCTGATGTGGATTGAACCCACAAACCGTGAGATCATGACCTGAGCTGACATTGGCCGCTTAACCGACTGAGCCACCCAGGCGCCCCTATGATTTCAGATTTTATCAACCCTATCTTCTGCTAAGTTAGGGTTTATTCAACACTAATTTTATTAAATATCTACTATATGCGTAGCACTTTGTGTGAATGAAAAACACAACCACCAGGAGATTCATTTAAATTTAATAAAATGTTATTTAGCTAGTGCTCATTGTTATATCAGGAACCCTATCATTTTCTGATACTATAAAAATTAGGAAGACAAGTTTTCTACCTCTGAATAGATTATGGTATACAACTGGAGGAAATAATCCTGGATGATTGTTCCTAACTGCTTTTGGCGGTCATCATAGACCAATTGTATAAAGGGCTATGGGAGCGCAGGTGAGAGAGAAGTCCTCTAAGGAGAAGGGAGCTTCAGAATTAAGGTAATGAGGGAATTCAGGGAAGAAGAAAGATACAGAGCAAACTCAGGTGTAAGGAATACTGAGAATCTGTTTCCTAGAAAGCAAGGAGCTTCTATTTAGAAGTTATTGGTCAAGATTTACTGTTCTTTTAATTGAGAAATTACAGCTTTCCCAGTTTTTCATCAGATAATCAGCTTTCTCTGGCCTGAGTCCACACTATAGGCCCATCTATAAACAAAAAAAATTTTTTCAGGATATTGGGGTTAGGATTAATGATAGCAATCTGGAGAGCAGTCACTGAATGGGATTTATTTTTTTCCATAATATTACTATATGATTAACTGGCTACACCAATGCATTAAAGGAAACACTGTGAAAATTAACCAAGAAAAACTTTCCTCTTTTTCTGCTTAGTTGCATCAAGGGAATCTCTACCCATTCACTCCAGTTTCTCTCCCTACCAGGTTCTTATGCCTGCCTCAAATGTATGAAGTTTTAATATGTAACATGGAAAGTGTTTTGCCCTCTGTATAATATCAAAATTCTGTCATACATCCATTCGTTTAATTCTCTAATTTTATCATATATCATGTGTTCTCAGCAGAAGTAGTTCAATGACAGATTGGTGAACCAGGCTACCTCCATGTTAATCAGTACAACTTACTGTTGTATTTTTCATGGCATTTACTCCATGCTCTTGACATACACGAAGCTCAGAACTGGAACTTTTAATACAGTAGATTAGTACCCAATATCATTTCCCGTGAGTGTGGTTAGAAAAGGTATAGCTTAATAAGGAGCTTTTGAGAAGATTTTTAAAAATATCATTAGACTTTAAATTCGGTGAAGAGCTAAAGTGAAGAATATACAGTGTATTCTCCCTACGCGGGACTGAATAGAGACAGTTCTTAATCTCGAAGGGCATCTCTGTTTCTGCTTATAGGAGAACGTTGAAGGTGGGGACTGCAGTCGCTGTAAATCCAGCTTCTTCAACTTGCAAGAGGAGAATCATAAAGGTTGTGACGAGTGCTTCTGCTCAGGGGTTTCAAACAGATGTCAGAGCTCCTACTGGACGTACGGCCATGTAAGCAATAGCCTTTTCATTCTGCACACGGTTCCTCAGCCCTACTTGCTGTTGTTCTTTTGTAAGGAATTAAAATGTTTCTTTCTGGTAGTAAATTTCCACTTACAGTCATCATGAAAAAGTGATGGGATTTTCTTTCAAATGCTATGTGTGTATCTTTGGTCAAAGGCTTTACAGGTTTTTTTTTTTTTTTTTTTTAATGTTTTATTTATTTCTGAGAGAGAGAGAGAGTGAGCAGGGGAAGGTCAGAGAGAGAGGGAGACACAGAATATGAAGCAGGCTCCAGACTCTGAGCTGGCTATTAGCACAGACCCAGACGCGGGGCTCGAACCCACTAACCGTGAGATCATGACTTGAGCTGAAGTCGGACGCGTAACCGACTGAGCCACCCAGGTGCCCCAAAGACTTTACGGTTTTATTTGGAGCAGCGTGTAGCCTGGAATCTCTTAGAAATAGTAAACATTAGCCTTTTCAGTGTCCATGATTACTATGTGAGGCAGTAATGGAATTAACATTGTTATATAGCCCCAGGGGCAGATGATTCAATAGAGAGAGAGAGTGTCAGATTGTGATATGAAGAATTATGTATTCTTTCACCAATATTGTTGGTATACAGTTTAAGAAAAATCACTCCCCATTGTGTTTGCACTGTCTCTGCACAGACAGACAGTGGTTTGTGTCCCTATAGAGGAGGTGTGAGGAAAATGGGACCCTCAGGGAATTTCGAATAGCCTGCATGGCAGCTCTTAAGAGTGCAGTGTGACAGGAAACAAGCTGCAGAGAGAGAAGCCTAGAGGGGAATGAGAAACTCTACCTGGGGTTGAGAATGCAAAGTTGGATTCTTATACTTGGAGAGCCATTGGAGGAGTTTTATCAGGAGAGTGATCTGACCAGAGGTGCGTTCTACAAAGATCACTATTTCAAGGAACTACCTTCCAAACACCCCTTCTACTGTAATACTGTGAATAATTTCTGATGGTACTCTCGTGTCCGAATTTGAATCTATACACCATCAAATATATTGCTTTCAGAGTAGATTGCATGGAACCAACAGCAAATAGACTTCTGGCCCACTTCCTCCTCTGTTTGTAGAGTTTCAGGCCACCCTCTAGACTGCTCCATTAACGTATCAAAATTTCATGGTTAGCAGAAGAACAGAAGTAGCACTCACCCTTGGTGTTCCGCATCTAGGTCTGCTGATATTTTCTTCAGTCAGCCTTCTGGTAGGAACTTCCTCTGAATCTCACTGGGCTGTTCTAGAATGCCTGAAGGATGATGTTGGAAAAGGCAAGGGAAGGAAGTAGCATCTATTTGAAGGTCTAGCTGGCCAGTATGTTTTTATTTGGTCTTTCTCTTTGGACCAGGGCAGTTCCAGCAACCAGATGGCTTTGGGAGAATCAAATGACCTCTTCATAAAATTTTTTAAAAAATATTTCATCCACTTATGATCACCATCACTGTTCTGTTCCCCATCACCCACAACACCAAGCAACTCACACACATCTAAGTAGGTCCCTGGTAGCCACAAACCTCGATATCTTGTGTTTTGTCCCAGCTAGGTAGGACAGTCTAAATTAGAATTATAGCTGTATGCCCACTCCTGGCCAGAGTCTAAAGATGGAAAAGGAAATCATCATTTGCTTCCTAATTTTTCCTTTAAGGCTCCATCCTTTTCTGGGCCAACGATCTAGGCTATGAGTTCCTACCATACTGTGACCCCATGGGAAGGACTAAGTATAGTATTTTGAGCTGTGGCCATAGCAACAAGCTGATGGATTTAAATGTCCTTAAGCCTCAAAATTGAAATTTAATTAAGGGGAAGGGTGGAAATACTAAATGAAAAGCTACCTTTCAGGTACTTGCATATTTTATCTCTTTTCTTCCTCTGCTTTACAAATATATACAACAGCTTTTGAAATATTGTTTTCCATAAGCAACAGGAAATTATTAGTGAAAGGAAAAAATATGAAATTGAGAGTCCAACTGTATGATAATTTGTATAACATTATAATCACTGTGTAACTTTGAATGAATTTCTATTTCATAAGAAAGAAGTATTTGGAATAATAACTTCTTAAAAAGCATTGGACCAGGGTGCCTGGGTAGCTAAGTCGGTTGAGTACCTGACTTCAGCTCAGGTCATGATGTCACTGCTCGTGGGTTTGAGCCCCGCATCAGGCTCTGTGCTGACAGCTTAGAGCCTGGAGCCTGCTTCAGATTCTGTCTCCATCTCTCTGCCCCTTCCCTGCTTGTGCTCTGTCTCTCTGTTTCTCTCTCTCTCTCTCCAATATAAAATAAAACATTAACAAAAATTTAAAAAGCATCGGATCAATAAAACTAGGTTATTACATATTACTGTCCAATCTCCTAGAATCATCAAGAAAACAATGAGAGTCTATAATGAGTACATACAATAAGTTTCATATTTTCCACAACTCTTATATTTTTCAAAACCTTTATAGTTTTAGGTTTGTTTTTGTTTGTGGTTTTTTTATTTCCAAAAAAATGGAAACTATGCAGAATATGAAAGAGAAAGAAATGGATATGACCTTTGCTTTTGTTTTTCCTAAGTAACGATGATTGTGTGTTTTCTTGAAGATAAAAGACATGAGTGGCTGGTACCTGACTGATCTCTCTGGCCACGTTCGAGTGTCCCCCCAGCAGGATGACTCGGAGCCACCTCAGCAGGTCAGCATCCGCAGTGTAGAAGCCCAGCGGTCCCTGCCACAGAGGTACTACTGGAGCGCACCTGCTGTGTATCTGGGAAACAAAGTAAGTCTGTACAGTCCTGGCTTCCTGCTACTTTGCTTTAACTGATCAAAAATGAGTTTTATTAAGTATTTCTTTAAAGAAATATTGAAACAAATTTATGGTGTGTTGTGTTTCCAAAAGCGACTAAATCAGTTTTAGTTGGGTATTTCTCCCAGAATCCACGGGAGAAGTATGTAAACCAAGAGTCGATGGGCTATGACAAACCCTAGTACTCAATTTTACATAGTTTGGTGTTCTATACTCACTTTTTTTGGCAGTTTCCAACTCATTTTTATGCTAACTTTTTGAATGAATGACTAAACTATTGAGGACTCTAGGATATTTTTGCAAAGCCTCTAAGATGATTTTGCAAAACCAATTATAAATATTGACAGAAATTGTGTTGCATTTACTTCAAATAGCTGTTTTCCTAGAGTTGCCTGTGGTGGGATGCTTACTGGAGTTTTCCTCATCTGTGTCTATTTTATTTCAAAACTGATATTCAAGAGAGCTAATTCTTCTACCTTGTATGAATGTTAATTGGAAATGAAATGTATTACGTAACTAACTTAATGCTTGCCGTGAAGCCTGTGTAAACAACATATTTCCTAGAGCTCGGAAAGAAAACTACCCTAAAAGAACCGCCAGATTGAAAGCGGGTTTGTGTTAAAGCCCACTATGCGCATAGAAAAACATACACAGATAAACAAACGTAGCAGCCTCGGAAATGCAGGTGCTTTTAGTTGTTGTTCTATTATGGATTAACTCTACCTAGATAGGTGCCTTGGCTTTTATCATTTTATTTTATTTTATTTTGCCTAATAATTTGTTGGAAACCAAATTTGGTACAGTAATTCTAAATGTTCTGCTTATTCTGTGTAAGTTAATACCTTAACGAGCTGAGGGTGACATCACTAACCACATCAGAAACTACAACAGTCACAGTAAAATCCCTTAGCAAATTGATGCTGTGTAAGCCTCTCACCTATAGGATGACTGTGTTACTTTGGAAGAAATTTTCTTTGATTAAACAAGGAAAATATAGGGGTGCATCTGTTAAGCATCTAACTTTAGCTCAGGTCATGATCTCACAGTCCGTGTGTTTGAGTCCTGTGTCGGGCTCTGTGCTGACAGCTCAGAGCCTGGAGCCTGCTTCGGATTCTGTGACTCCCTCTCTTTCTCTGCTCCTCCCCCACTCATGCTCTGTCTCTCTCTGTCTCTCAAAAAATGAATAAATGTTTAAAAAAATTAAAAACAAAAACAAAGTATATTTACTGTTAGTGATTTTCTTCCGTGGCATAGGACTATTGAGAAAGAAAAACTTAGTAGTTCACATGTTACTGAATGGAATTGGTGGTTGTAGCTAATTAAAAATTAACTAGTGGCCAGTTTCTTTTTTTAAATGTTTTTAATGTTTATTTATTTTTGAGAAAGAGAGACACAGTGTGAGCAGGGAAGGTGCAGAGAGAGAGGAAGACACAGAATCCAAAGAAAGCTTCAGGCTTTCAGCTGTCAGCACTGAGCCCAATGCAGGGCTCGAACTCATGGACTGCAAGATCATGACCTGAGCTGAAGTTGGATGCTTACTTGACAGAGCCACCCAGAAGTCCCCCCTTTTTAAATGTTTATTTACTCTTGACAGAGAAAGACACAGTGTAAACAGAGGAGGGGCAGAGAGAGAGGGAGACGTGGAATCTGAAGCAGGCTCCAGGCTCTGAGCTGTCAGCACAGAGCCCAGTGGTAGAATTCGAACTCACAAACAATGAGAACATGATCTGTGCCAAAGTCAGATGCTTAACCCACTGAGGCATCCAGGTGCCCCAACGAGTGGCAGTTTCTTATTTTCAGCAGACTTCTAAATGCTATTATGAAAAATGTGTTAATGAATAAAACACATTTTTCAATGAATATGTACTTTAAAATAAACAGTGTATATTGCATAAAATTCTACAGCTATAATAAAAAATCCAATTAAACTCATATTTGCAAGGCGTTTTACAACAAGAAGACATCCCCTCTTGTTCTGTTTTGGAACCTCTTGTATTCCCAACAAGAATAAAATAGCACTTAGGGCTTGAATGTCCACAGCTTAAAATTGTCAAAACAACAACAACAGAAAAGATATAGAAGCTGCTAAGTTTTTCCCCTGCTCTGTTCCGAGTTTCGAGAAGAGCCCTGGGTCAAAACTGGTTGAGTTTCAAAGGTCTTCTTTTCCTTACAATGGGGAAACATATTTAAGAAGAGCTTATAATAGAATATTCTTTACCACATTTTCTACATTTTTTCTTGGGTCATATGCTTTTGCTTTCTGTTGGCTGGAAATCAAACTGACATAAGCATGGAAAGCAAACGGGATATTAAATAGCACCAGAGCAAAGAATTTGGACACCCTGTTCCTGGATGTTGGTTCCCAAAGATAACTTCCTTTATCCTGGCTGAGCTGTTCCTTATAACCACCCACGATGAAGCACTTCACGTCCCTCCACAGATCATTTTCACTTCAAAAAGCTGTGCTTGCCTCTGCTTCTATTTCCACTCAGTGAACAAAATAATGGTAACAGGGTGTGCAAATTCTTTGAATATGGAAGACATTTTTTAATGTAATGTGGGAGCCCTTGGTGGTTTACTGTCAGATATCTCAGTATGAATGAAACAATTTGCCTTAATAACTGAACCGTATAAATTTTTGATACTACAATAATACTGCAAGCTCTCACAAATTACCACAGTACATCTTAACTGCCATGTCACATCACGTAAATTATAGTCATGATGACATGCTTAGCTTGGTTGATTTAATATCTTGCTAAGGAAATGGAAAATTGCAGGGCCTTGTTTATAAATTCAATAAAGCACTTCTCTAAATAGTTGAGGCTAAATTCTTTACCAGTAATTGCCGTTCAGATCAGAGCCATTGCCAGAATCTGACAGAAATAGTCTATCAAGAAACTAGTGCATCTGCTTAGATACTGTATTTCATTTACGCCCATGACCAGGAGGCTGTGGGTATAGCATCCCACCTCCGCTTTTTTAGTGTTAATTCCTAAGTCAAAAAAATATTTATGAGATGCTATTAGCTTTGCTAAATATTTGTATATTCAATTTTCAAACATTTTCTAAATCACTTGGTTTTTAAGACTACTGCTAACAGAAAGGAGAAGTGCTATGCAAATTCTGTTATACTGAGGATGCCACATGCCATTCTTCAACCCACTGAACCACCCAGGCACCCCAGCCATTCTTCCTTTTCTTCCAGGAACCTGATTCCAAATAGTAAAGTTGTTCTCACACGGGGTACCTTTTGCTGACAGAGAGGCCCACTGATTGTGATAAAACTCAAGAACACTAGTCAGTCTAGCAAAGGAGTATTTTTTATCCTAAGACACATTTTTATGGATGGCAGACCCTCTTTGTAGTCATGAGGCACACATAAGTGAATATGTGGGGGGAGGGGTAGTCATGAGGTCTGGAAAATCTTAGCACATTTTTATACTCCCCATTTAAGTATTTGCACAATCTCCCTTATGACTTAATTCCTCAATAGCAATCTTGAAAATGTTTTTTTTTTCCCTCACATGTGAGTGAATATTTAGCACAATTGGCACAATCAAGTGTTGGTTCCCCCTCACCCCTCATGCTAGAGAGTCAAAGAGGATTAAGTCAGATGCCCAGAGGGTTGTATGAGGCAGCATTTCATTTTCAAAATACTTGGCAAATGTTAATGCTTCATTTAGGGCATTGGTTTAAGCATGGAACTAGGCAGGAATGGAAAGATCTAGAGGGCAGAATCCTGCTGGTTTGCTACAGGCTACAGCTATTCAGAAACAGTTTGGGTATTTCAGAGTTGGAATAATTTACTGCTTTAGTAAACTAAGTGCTATTGGAACATTAAAATAGTCATTTACTTAAGGTTACCCTAGTGGTCTGAAATAGTGCAGCTTCCAAAAGCAATTCTCTCCACATCCGTAAAGTTCCCTGAGAATCTGGCTTGGCCTGTCTCCTCTTCCCACATTACCATTAAGGCTTACGATTCTGTCTCTGAGCATTATTAAATTAATCTTATGTGATTTGTTCTTCACAGGACAATGCTTGTTTTTTACAATAGTCGTTGTCTTTGTCTGTTTCTAGCATAGAGAAGATTTTAAATGGTTTCCTCTAGTTGCTGAGAGTACCTATAGCCTAGCTTAAGATGCACATTATGAGTCTGCTTATAAAACAGCATCTGGCTTCTAAAAGAAATCTCTGGTACTTTTCTGTTGTGCTTGCTTGACTTTCAGTTCCATCTCTCAGATCTCAAATTGAAGCTGTGGATTTGAAGGAGATTGATGTTTGAGATTTACAGGATAGGGTCCTTCTTGTCACATAAAGGGAGCTCAACAAATACTTTGTGATTAATGCTACATACTTAATAACAAAAACAGCAGCGTCTTTTTTTTTTCTTCAAATAAATAGATGGAGCTTTGTTTATTTATTGGGGTTTTTTAGTTTTTTTTTTTTTTAATTCAAGTTAGTTAACATACAGTGTAGTTTCAGGTGTACGATATAGTGATTCAACAATTCTATACAGTACCCAGTGCTCATCATAAGTGCACTCCTTAATTCCCACCATGTATTTAACCCATCCCCCCCACCTACCTCCCCTCTGAGACCCACAGTTTGTTCTCTATAGTTAACAGTCTGTTTCTTGGTTTGCCTCTCTTTTTTCCCCCAATGTTCATTTGTTTTCTTTCTTAAATTCCACATATGAGTGACAGCATGACTCTTGACTTAGGATTTATGTAAGGGTTGAAAAATAATTTCAAACATGGTTAAAAAAATTAAAAACTAATAAGCATGATCCACTCTCCTTTTAACAGCATAATGTATATTTGTGACTTCTAATTATTCAAAAGTAAAGGTCAAATCCTATTCCCTCATCTTTCCTTCAATTTAAATATTGGATTAAATGGATTAATAAGAAGGTATTGTGTATGTGCCGAATGGCATGGCCATTAAAGTAAATAGGACAAATCAACTGTGCT